CTCTTCTGGGTCCTTGTCCAGGACCTTTTTTTTTTTGATGTTTTGTATGTGTTACCGGTGGAGTAGCCCCTTGTATCTGCTGTTGGTATAATTACAGGCTGCTATAGTTAGGGTAATATGAATGGGGCATGATGTCTAAAGCTTCGTTTTCTCATTTAATGTCATTTAATGGAGTTTTCATGTTGTGCAAACTTATTTTATGTTCTTATTTCGGTATATTTCCAAAACAATTGACTTACTTTATGAAGAAACTTTATTTGTTTACTTTCATTGCTACAAGCAACAATACTACGCATTATGTCAATGCCTGTTGCGGTACCTATAACGACGATACCCGTTTGATTCTTCTGAGCTACCAGAAGACGATGATGCCGGTACTTTAGTCTTTGGCCTTTGCCCACTTCCTGGAAACGGTCTAGCTTTGGAATATTCATCATTGTTGATGGAGTTGCCGTTTTCTGGATACAACTTTTCCCTGAAGTTTGGTATCGGACCACAACAATGAGCAACACGGTCTCCTTGGATGCAGTCATAGCCATACGGGCAGAATCTGAAGTATAAACGAGTTGGCTATGCGAATCCGATTCTTGGAAACATTTGAAGCTTTTCTCGGAATCTTTCGGGAATGCCTCTGTTCCCACGTTTGATCAGTCAGACGAATTCACCAAATACCCTATGCTTACTATTAGATGAGCTGTACCTGTGACTGCAGCTTTTGCCAATCCAAGCCTCCTGCCCATACTCCCTAGTTCTTGTGAGTGCTTTACCAACCGGACAAGTGGGATTGCGAGCTTCCGTATCCCACTGCTCTTGAATAGAAATGATCAATTACTAGTCTTCTGTTCATTGATAAATGTAGTTCTGTGGAAATGCTCACTCTCATTGGCATCGTCACAGCATAGCCCTCCGCCGAATCCTATAACACAAGTACTACCGGCTGGACAGCTCCTTTCCGGCTGGACAGCTCCTTTCTGGATCTTTGCAGGATCCTGTAGGCGCCTTGTTTCCTCCACAAACAAATTTATCAGCTGAAATTAGAACTGATTTGATTCGAGTTGAAATATGTCTTGGAGCGATAAACTTCATAAGTTCTGGCCGAGGAGGAGGTATAGGTCAATTGTTGAAGTGGTTTGATTCACTTAATCCTTTTTGGAAATAGACTTTCATCTCTGGATTGATCTGGCAACTTTTTATAGCTTGACAACATAAGAAATGTTACCT